ACAGGAGGAGACGGCCAACAAAAAAATACACCTGGCAAAGAAAAACAAGCAGCAACACCACCACAACCAGTCCCAGTGCCACACCCTAAACCGTCAGGAAGTGCAGGAGAATTATTATTAGGAGGAGGGCGATTAGAGGATGCACTGCCAGAAACACCAGTGAAAAAAAACGCTCCAGCAGCTCCATCACCGACGGCATCATCCCACACCGCATCGTTGCCATCAAAGGAGGACACAGAAACCAGGAAGCCAGCCGACGATCCGCAGAAAAAAGACAAAAAACCAACAACAGATGCCATACAAAATGCGACAACTGAGGCTCAGGGGGAAACAACTTCATCATCTTCTGCGGCGGATGACAATAACGCTGTCACCAATGAAGCTGACGAGGGAAATGCGGAGAACGCCAACGATGGTTCCGCATCTCGTGCCGCAGTGCCAAACGAAAAACAACGACGTGAACGAGAGGATGGCAGCGGGAAGGAAACAGAACCAGCAGCAACGCCACAAGTAAAAAATGAAAACCCCGGCTCTGCAGACGCTGTTTCAGTACAACAGGTACAGAAAGCTCAAAGTGGCCGGGAGTCAGGGAGTGAGTCAAGAAAAGAAGACAGTGCTCCCACCACAAACAAACAACAGGATGGAACATCTGACAGCCATGCCGAATCAACTCCAACATCACGCTCATCAGCAAAAAGTGTTGCCGCCAGTAATGGCCCTGAAAAGGCTACTGAGGAGGAGATTTCCAATAAAAATACGGCAGGTGTAGATGCAGTACCAGAAGCAGCACAAGCAGATGGAAATAAAGATGATAATAAGAAAGAAACACCAATAAAAAGCTCAGCTATTGCAAATGGTACGGCTCCAACAGGCGACAGTGACAGCAGCACCGCGGTCTTCCACACCACCTCCCCTCTTTTGCTTCTTCTTCTTCTTGTTGCGTGTGGGGCTGCGGTGGTGGCCGCGTGAGAGTGAGGGAGAGAGAGCCGTGCACCGCCCGCACACACACTCGTCCTTCTCTCTCTGTGTGTGTGTCCCCTTGCATGGACTCTCGCCCTCACCTCACCCCACGAAGCACACACAATAATGTGCCCATTGTATATATGCATGCACACCCATGCAGGCCCGTTGGTGCTCTCTTTTGCACGACACGCACCGCTGCCGTCCTGCCTGGCTGCATGGGCGGGGCACCGTAACTGTTTCTGTTTTGTTTTTATTGCATTGAGTGGGCGACCTCTCTCTCTCTCCCTCTGTGTGTGTGCTTTGCTTTGCGGGAGCAATGAGAGTGTGTGTGCGCTGGTCGTCCCACGCTTCGGCTTTTTGTTTTATTGTTTTCCTTTTTGATTTTGTGGTTGAGTGCACCCATTCCGCGGCTGCGTGTGTGTGTGTGGGACGTTATGAGTAATTTGCGTGTGTGCCATCTGCCTCTCTCTGCCGTTGCTTTCTTCAGACTCTCTCGTATCGCAAGGCAGCTCCGCAAGTTTAGGCTTTGAAAAACACACGGACAAATGCGCAGAATCTCTTTGTTTCACACGCTGTGGAGTGGCGTGGACGCTGAGAACGCACGCACGCACAATATTTTGTCTGCGGTTGCTCTTGCGAGGAGGGAGGTCGTGAGCCCGCGATTTGCCTCGTTGACGTGATGCGGTTGTTATTTTGGCGGCGTGCAGCAATTGAATGGTGTGGCGTTGAGGATGTCTGGGACGAGTGCCTATCGACTTTCCCCCAACAGCTGTACCTACCGACGTGTCTCTGCCGTTGTGGTTTTGTCGACGAGGGATTCTCCGGCTGTGTGGAATGATGTGCGTGTGCGTTAGGGGAGACAGTAGCCAAATGACTGGCGGCAGCGCATGAGTGCTGTGATGTGCGGCTGTGCCCTTTTGCCTCCCGCTGGTTGCTTTGTGTGTGGACGTTGTTCAGTGTCTGCTGAAGCGTGACGAATAGCAACGCACCCGCTGTGGCTCCTGCTGCTTCTTCTGGTGGTGACCGTCGCTGTGTGTTCCCGGTGCACTGTTCTTCCATCTCCTGTTCCGTGTGTGTGTGTGCGTGAGTTGTTGTTGTTTGGAGTGGCTGCGGTGGGGATTATTATTATGCCACTCACTGTGGATGGGTGGCGGTGCTCGCTGTTTCTTCCTCTTTTCTTGGCATGTTTTCTCTTGATTTCTGTCACTTTCTTACGAAGAAAGCAAACAAGCGCGAATCGCTACTGTGAAATTGTAAGGCTCTGAAAGGACCAACAGCACACACACCGCCCACACACACATATTTATATGCTCTCACGTGTTGCTGCAGTGAAGGCACCCCGCACACACAACCGTCGCCGCGTGACCGGATCGAGCGGCATGAGGAGGGAAGGAAGAGAAAGTGAGCCGCAGAGGCCCCACATGTTCCGGCATCACTTCTATTCCGCGGTGCTCCTCCTTCTAATGCTCTGCGGCAGTGGTGAAGCTGCCGCCGACGGGGAAAGTAAATCAAATCAAGGAGCTTCGTCGGGAAAACATTATGTTTGGAGAGATGTGAAAGATGGAGAAGAAAAATTGATTTTGCTCCGTGTTCCCAGTCTCGTTGAAATGGATGGTGAAGTGTTTGCCGTTGCCGAGGCGCAGTGCCCGAAGGAGGGTGAAGAAGGCGGTTTTACTGGGATTGCCTCGGAGCTCCTGGAGTGGACTGGTGAACAAGAAAAAGAGGAGTTGGATAGAACAAAATTGAAGACACAAGTACTGGAGGAATGTCCGTCCGGCGATAAAGGCGTCTGCAGCATAGCGAATCAGGCTGTTTCTCAAGGAGTGAAGAATGTACATGTGAGCCGACCAACAACAGTTGTGAAGGGGAGTGATATTTACATGATTGCTGGAAATTACAGTTGGACACTTAAAGCTGGCGATCAGGATAGTGGTGCAGCTGGCTGGGGACTCATGCTGGTGAAAGGGAACGTCAGTACTGTTGACAGTAAAAAAAGAATACTTTGGAATGACACTTACGTTATCCCGTGGAATTATAAAGGCAACCAAAATGAACCCCTGAAACGGCTGATTGGCAGCGGAGGATCGGGTCTTAAGATGGAGGACGGTACGCTTGTGTTTCCGCTGGAAGGCACCAAAAAGAAGGAGGCCGATGCCGAAGAGGATGGAAAGACTGTTTCACTTGTCATATACTCCACAGGTAATGAGGGTTGGGTGCTGCCGAAGGGGATGTCTGCCGATGGCTGCGGTGTTCCCTCCGTCGTGGAGTGGGAGAAGGACAAACTCATGATGATGACTGCGTGTGATGGTGGCCGCCGCAGGGTGTACGAGTCCGGTGACAAGGGGGAGTCGTGGACGGAGGCACTCGGGACACTCTCGCGCGTGTGGGGCAACACAAAGGGTGAAAAGGTTGAACTCGTTGGGAGCGGGTTCACCACAGCGAAGATTGATAAGAAAAAAGTGATGCTTGTCACTCTGCCGGTGTATTCTAAAGAGAAAGAGAAAGAAGAAAAAGAAAAGGGCAGTCTCCATCTTTGGCTGACGGACAACACGCACATTGTCGATATTGGGCCGGTATCCGATGATGACGTTGCCGCCAGCTCCCTGCTGTACAAAAGTGGTGAAAGTGGAAGTGGCGATAATAATGGGGAAGAGTTGATTGCACTGTACGAGAAGAAGGAGAGCGGTGATGAGGACGCATCACTCGGTATGGCTTCTGTGCTTCTGAATGCGCAGCTGGAGAAGGTGAAGGAGGTGCTGAAAACGTGGAAGAATGTGGACGAACGTGTCTCCCAGCTGTGCACCTCTGAGAAGGTTACCTCAAGTGAAACTGCCTGCAGTGCTGATATTAAGATCACGGATGGGCTGGTTGGCTTTTTGTCCGGCAACTTCTCTGAGAACACATGGAGGGACGAGTACCTCGGGGTGAACGCCACAATAAAGGGGAATGATGGGGCAACAGAGGCTTCCGATGGTGTGAAGTTCCAGGGAGCGTGGGCGGAGTGGCCTGTTGGCAGTCAGGGGGAGAATCAGCTGTACCACTTCGCGAACTACAACTTCACTCTTGTGGCGACGGTGTCCATCGACGGTGAGCCGAAGGGAAATACCCCCATTCCATTGTTGGGTGTGCGTGCGGGCAGTAACGGGGGAAAAAAACTTTTTGGACTGTCGTACAACGGCGGAGATAAGTGGCAATTGCTGTGCGGTGGCGGAAAAAACAAGGAAATCAGCAGCACATGGAAGCGAGGGACAAAACACCAAGTGGCCATTGTGCTACGGAACGGCACCCATGGCTCCGCGTACGTCGATGGTAAACGTCTGGGGAAGGATGCGCAATGTGAATTGAAAAATACAGATTCGGAAGGGATCTCGCACTTCTACATTGGAGGGGATGGTGGCAGTGCAGACAACACAAGAAGCCGTGAAGTGGTGTCTGTGACGGTGACGAACGTCCTGCTGTACAACCGCCCGCTGACTTTTTCAGGTGGGAATGCCGAGGTGGAAGAAGTTACCGATTCACCATCAGCGGAGCCTGCTTCTCCATTTGTGGCAAGGAATCAAAATGCGGCGCCTCCTGCAAAGATACCTCCTGAAGCTCCGGTGGGGCAAACGACCTTGCAGCAGCCTCAACACGAAGGTAAAGGGCAAAATGCAACGGCGGAGGAATCTGCCACTACACAAGAAGTTCCGGCGACCACATCGCAGGGAAGTGTAGAGAAGGCGGCGGCTTCGAACTCCCATGCCGCTGGAGAAGCAAGAGATGATGCCGGCATTATGCGTGAGAGCGGACTGCTGCCATCGCTGCTCCTTCTGTTGGGACTGTGGGGGTCTGCAGCTCTGTGAGGAGTGACTGGCTGCCGCGTGGGACACTTGCGACCCCCGCTGCACCGACACACACACACACCTGGCAATGAATTTCTTTTCCTAAATAACTTTTATTTACTTTTCTTGCTTTATTTGCGTTTTTAAATTGTTTTTCTTTTTCTTTTATCTCTCACTCCCGCATCCCTTCTATTTTTGCTTTTGGGGGCAATCACTATGGACGTTTTTTCTTTTTTACTCTTCCCTCTTTTAATTGTTTGTTGCTGCACTCTTCCTGCGAGGGGTGCCGTGTGTTTCCCGCCCAACTGCTCCACTCGCACACCACCGACACGCTCATGACGACGGCCCTGTGCGCCTCGCCTGCTGCACGCATGAGGAGGGGCCGCGACGAACGGCGCGCTGAGGGAGCCGTGACGTGTGGGCGTGCGACGAGGGCCTGTGGGGCGGAGCACACATTTCTTTCCCTCTTGTTTTGTTTTCTTGCGGCCAGGGCGGGCAGACACCCGCAGCGCCACACACACACACAGCCACACCCTGCCGCCGTGTTTTTCTTTTTTTTTTTTTTTTCTTTTCATTTCACGCGCTGGCAGTCCCGTCATCATTTCTCTCCCTCCTGATGATTTTTTTCTTTTGCTGCGCTCACTCCCCGATGAAGTGACGCGACTCCCGTCATGTCTGCGTGCTTCTCTCAGTCCCCACACACGAGTGACTGTGCTCTGCGGGCCGCACTCGCACGCCGATGAGAGGGCTGAGGGGAGCAGCAACACGCCGATGACCCCGTGAAATATAAACGATGTGCGGACACATGGAGGGTCGGACGGTTGAAACACACGCAACCATCTTTTTAATTTTCTTTTCGGGCAAAATACATACGGACAGTTTGGTGTGGCCACACGGCAGCCAGGCGATTTTTAAATTTGTGTGGAACAGTAATGGACGATTTCTTTTTTTATTTATAATTATTTTGTGTGATGGGGTTTACATAAGATGAAAGGGGATGGTTTTTTGTTTTAAATAAATCTTGTGTGGATTGCCGCTGCTTGGGCTGCAGTGCAGTCATGAGTTTGAGCGGTCCTCTTGTTGTTGTTTCCGCCATGCGTCTCTGCTGTACATTTTTGTGCGTCCCTCCACATACTCTGCTCCCTCTTTTCTGCTTCTTTGCTTTGTGTTTCTGCAGGCACACACAACCACACACAAGATGCACATTGCAGTGGATATGAATGCTCCTTTTGCAGTGCATGCTGGCAGTTGCGTGTGGCGGCTGTTGTCTTCTTCCGTGGCCATGAGGAGAAGGGAGGAGAGGGAGCGCGCACCCCGAGTCTCTTTTCCTGTGGGTGTGATGCACCGCGTGTGGCTGCGCTGAGTTGGGCTCCGTGTCCCATTGAGGGCGGGATGGCAGGAAATTTTGTTGCCGCGTCATGGACGGATGAGGGTTCGCTTGCGCGTGTGGCTGGTGTGGTGGCCGCGGTGTTTTTGCCGTTTCCCTGGGGCTGTGGCGATGAGCTGGGGGAGATGGTGGTGGATGTCTTCTCCTCCTGCATGGTGGGTGGCTGCTGGCGTTGTGTGCCTTCGTTGCGTGGATGGCGTCTCGTGGTGTGTGAACTGTGCGGCTGGGCCTGCTGCCCTCTCCTCATGTTTTCTGCTCTCACTCGCTGTATCCGCTGCACTCCGTCCCTCTCCCTCCTGTTCCATTCCTTTTTCTTCTGTACCACCGATCAGCTCACTGACACCAGCGACTCCACTACGGGTGATTGTGACTGCGATGGTGACGATGGTGACGGTGCGGCTTCGTGTGGTGTGCGCCGTGTTGGTCCTTGCGCTATTGTGCTGCTGCTGCAATTCCGTGTGCGTGACGGCGTGAGGAGGCGATAATAATGATGACAGAAGTCATCTAAACCATATGTTAGGGAAACCAGATTTTACAGGAAATGCGCTTGATTCGTTACAGACAGAGAGTGGGAGAAACTGTGAGGAAGGTTTGAGAAGTCAAGTACCTTCTTTGCCAAAGGAAGCAGATACTGCCATTACTGGACACACACCAGTTCCGCCACAGCCACTACGTTTTTCTAACGATAATCCAGAGTCACCAGTTTTGGCGACGCAGTGTCGACACACATAAGGCGCGACCGGTAAGTCAGATGCACAAAATAAATAGGCGGAGGAATATCCACAAGGTGCTGAGAATCATACGGCAAAGACATCACGTCAGAAGACAAAAATGCCAAATAAGACAACGACGACCACCCGCGCACCGCCACATCTTCGCGAAATCGACGGCAGCCTCAGCAGCTCTGCGTGGGTGCGTGCCCCGCTGCTGCTCGCAGTATCCGCGCTGGCGTGCACCGCTGTGGGCTGAAAGGGAGCGTGGGCTGTGCGTGCCAGCACTCAGCCGCGGGGACATGTGTACGTCTACTGTGGTCCGATGTATGAAGTAAGAGTAATTACGATGATCGTTTTTGCTTTGTTTGCTTCCGCTGCCCTGCTGTGTGCTCCGCGTTGCTTCCCAAATCCGTCACGTTGAGCGCGTCCCAGACACACTCATATGCATGGCACGCACACAACGCAGTCTTGTATTTTTCTATAATATCTTTTTTTCATTTTAAATTTTTTTTTGCAGGGCGATGTGCGAGTTTTAGATTTGTACCGGATTCATTTGTTTAATGGTGTGTGCGCTGCTGTTGCTGGTCTGCTGCCGTTTGTCACGGTGCGTGGTTATGTGACTTGTCTCTCCTTTTCGTTTTTGCTCTACGTTGACGTGTTGTTAGTCTGTGCTGAAGGCTACGCGCAAGTGACAGGAGTGATGGCAATGATGATGACTGGCCGTGTGCTGCTGGTGTGTGCCCTCTGCGTGCTGTGGTGCGGTTCTCCTAGAATTGCAGCCAGCGGCGTTTATGCGAGTGGCGTTGAGGACGGTGCACGGGGAGGCTGCATGGTGTCGGGAGTGTTTGGTACGAATTGGTCTTACACGCCGAGCGGATGTAATAAAACTGTGCCCATGACGGCTTTGCGTTCTGTATTTTCTGTTGTTGCTGCTGAGGCCTCGACTGAGCAAGAGGATTCTGAAACCGACACTGTTTTGGATTCACCTTCAGGTGATGGCTCCGATACTGGTCTTGGCAGTCCTGTCGGAAGTGGAGCTGTGGATGGCAGTAAAGTTATTGACGGCGAACTCGGAAATTCGGCTGTGGTGCCTCCTGATACCCGCGTTGCTGTTGCTTCTCCGCCTCCCCCAGCCCCCGAGACTGATGCTTCACGTCTCCCCGAGGTCTCGTCATCCACTGAGAAGCATAATTCTTCAGAAAAACTTGTAGATTTAAAAACAAAAACGCCTGCAGGGACTCCATTGCTCAGCAATCAGGCAAGTAAGGAATCATTACCCACAGTAAAGCCAGAATCCCCCACCACATCAGACTCAACAGTTACGGTGAAGGGTACGGACCAGATTTCAGAAGAAAAAGCTTGCTGTGTTACAGGGACCAAGTACGGTCAATGCTGGAGAGGATGGGAAAAAAGCCGTTACGGAAATAAAACCAAATACGACCACCAATACGCCAGACGCAGCACCGACACTGTCCTCAGAGGGTGATGTGACAGAGCAACACGGTAAGGACACAGACTCATCGAATTTCATGAATAGTGCAAATACAGGCAGTTCGGCGGAAACAACAGCATCATCATTCTCCAAAAGTGGCGGTATTGACGACCCGAAAAATGAGAGTGAGGATGAGGGCGATGCTCAACGGCCTAAGAGCAAAGAACCACAAGAAAAACCCGAGGACAGTAATACCAACGATGCACTTACAGAAAATGAAACTGCACCACAAACAGAGAAAACATTCGGCTCCGCTCAAACGAATGATACATCTAAGCCTGACGACAGGGACGGCAGCACCGCGGTCTCCCACACCACCTCCCCTCTTCTGCTTCTTCTTCTTGTTGTTGTTGTTGCGTGTGCGGCTGCGGCTGCGGTGGTGGCCGCGTGAGAGTGAGTGTGAGAGAGCCGCGCACCGCCCGCACACACACTCTTCCTTCTCTCTCTCTGTGTGTGTCCCCTTGCATGGACTCTCGCCCTCACCTCACCCCACGAGGCACACAATAATGTGCCCATTGTATATATGCATGCACACCCATGCAGGCCCGTTGGTGCTCTCTTTTGCACGACACGCACCGCTGCCGTCCTGCCTGGCTGCATGGGCGGAGCACCGTAACTGTTTCTGTTTTGTTTCCATTGCATTGAGTGGGCGACCTCTCTCTCTCTCCCTCTGTGTGTGTGTTTTGCTTTACGGGAGTAATGAGAGTGTGTGTGCGCTGGTCGTCCCACGCTTCGGCTTCTTTTTTATTTTGTGATTGAGTGCGCCCATTTTACTTTTGAAAGGCGGCATGCTGTGATGGCGGACACTTTAATCTTCTCTTCTTATATTCTCATATTGTTTCATTGTTTCAAAATTGTCACCCTCGTGTATTCTTGTCGGGCCACTAGGTTTTCTATACGCCTGCCATGCGTCAGTTGATCCACGTCACCCCGCAGCCACCAGCGCTGCTGTTACTTCTGCTTGTGATGATGTCTGTGATGTGTTGTGCATGCGGGTGCCTTGCTGTCACCCTGACGTACCCTTTCTCCCTCTGACAAGGCGATGCGTGTCGCCAGCGCGAAGTCGATCTCGGCGGTGGCGAATGACGTGTCCTTTTAGAGAAGAGGGTACGTCGCAGGCATACACCATCATTGTGAGGAATGTATGGGCGCCTATCTGCATCGATGTGTCGACAAGGGACCTGGATGATGCCAGGAAGTATTGCAGCTCAGAGCGGCATTACGCAATGAATTCATTGGTGGCAATTGTGACTGTAACGATGACGTTTTTTTCTACTGAGAATAGGGAAAGTTTTCTTTTTGTTATACGTTGCGGCCACTATCCGTTGATAGGCCGAGGACTGTCCGTAGAAATGTGGACTAATTCTCCGTCCCGAACGGTGCTATCGTGCGAGAGGGGTTATCCCACAGCATGTGCGGCAGGGCCTCCCGTGGACCGTCAGGCGGGTCAGCAGCCCATGGCGTCTGCGACGAAGCGGTGGTGGAAGGGCTTGGCCCATCCTGCGTGCCCGCGTTTTTGCTTCCTGTGTGTCCCGCCTGGTGGCGTGCCGGGCGTTTTCGGTGGCGACCTATTCCTAAGGCGCCTGTTAAAAAGACGGTGGAGCCATTGGGACATCCGCACGCGAGGACTTCTCCAACTATCGGAACGCCAGGCTGAGTACGTCAGGCGCGTGTCCTCCATGTTTTGGACGGACGAGTGCGCTCTGCCGAAGATTGTGCAGGAGGACATCAATCCGCCGCTCGCTTGTCGGCAAGGAGTTGCGGTGCTCACGTCGGGAAGAGGTTCTGGCGGAGGCAGAGGCGGGCCGGTCTCCTCGGTGAGGGAGGGACGGCACCACCGGCACAGGGAGCTGCTTGTGATTTGCAGGGCGCGTGCAGGCCTGTCGAAGAGTGGGCGGGAGTCGCATCACGCCTGAGCACAGTGCCGCCACTCGTGGCACGATTTCCGGGTCGACACCAGGAATGGAGTTCTCGCCACACCGACAAGCGCCTGTTGTGCGGTGTGTGCCTTCCTTTTCCTCCTGGACATCCTTCCAGTATAACCTCTTGACGGCGGTAAGGAATTCCACGTGCCAGAGTGGGATGCCTCTTGCGGGAGAGATCGTGCAATCGTGGCTTCTTCGTCACCGGCCTCATTGCGTGGGATACCGCAGTGTTACGGGGAAAATATAAATTCTACAGAGTAACCTCGCTTTATCAAGGAAGGCAGGTTGGTCCAAATCTCTTCAGTGGCACAGTCTCGCATGACCATTGGGGCAACGCGGAGTGCCTCAGTTCTCGACAGGGAGTCCGTCGCCACCAAGATTCGTGTGGGCGATTGGGATGTGTCCAGACGAGGAGGTACGAGGTGTCTAAGGCCAATTTCAATGGCAATGCACTCTGCACTATATGAGCGTGCGAGCCTGCCAGCTGCTGCACGATGGACCTCCACAGGGAGATCATTTGCCGTGTTGGGGCCGTATAACAG